TAAGCTGTGATCCAAGATCTTGCGGCAGCCAGAGGAAGTGCTACAAGATGTCGGAGGCAGACCTCTAGAACATGGATACTGATGCCAAGAGCTGGGTGCCACAACCTGCCCATTTCAAGGGAAAGTGCCTTGCCCTTGAAGCAGAGGAGAGAATGGAGGAAGGAAAAGCAGAGGTCTTAGGAAGGACCCGTGACTTCTGTAGATGGGTCCACGGCTCAAGGATCGGACTCTTAAGCCACCTCAGACCCATCAATGAGCCATGGTAGAGATCATCCTCAAATCAAGGCAGTACCAGTGACACCAGCAACCAGGCTGCCGGGGAACCCATTTAGGCAGTGCCAACATCTGGGCCCTCTGTTCCTCCACTAAGCTCAGGGCCCTGCCTCAATGCCCAGAAACAAGCCAGCACGATGCTCAGACTGAACAAGAGCCCCAGCATGGAGGCAGCCCGGGCTCATGGGGCCACCTTTCATAGACTCATAGAAAAGGGCTGGAAGGGAGCTTGAAGCCACTTCCAGTCCAAACCAGCACTGACCAACCATCATCTAAACTCTATATAAGATGGTCGTCAGCCCTGACACAACACAGACGTGCCCGACCCTGCTGCAGAGGAACCACCACGGCCAACATCCTGCATTGTGAAATGTTGTCAGTAGATGCTCAGGAGGTCCTGGGTAGAGGCTATGGCCCTGGTATGGAGCAAGGCAAAACCCTGCAATACATATGAATCCGACTGGGGGGAAGGTACCTTCCTAACCCCAAATGCAGCATTGATCTGAGCCTGAGCACAGGGGCAAGGCCCTCCAGCCAGGACCCTGTGGGGTCGGTTGAGCAGGAGCATTGGCACAGCCCAGTGCCCAGCCCCAGTCTGGGCTGCAGCCAGCACCCAGCACCTCTGGGGGAGGCTTGAAAACCCCGACACATGGAGCAGAAAGTGTGTGGGGACAACCAGCACAGCCCAGAAGCATGGAAACCTCCACAGTAGAGCACAGGCATCGCTGCACCTAGAGCATCCTGGCCCACTGTCTGCCCAACCTCTCCGTGGTGCCTCCAGTGCTGGAGTCCCCCCTCCCCTGGCCATCTGGTCCACCGCCCCCTGCTCCAACAGCAAAGACATTCTTAAAAGCCTCAGTGATCCCTGCGCAGGCCTGGCTATGGCTGCAAGTGTTTTCTGTCGCCAGCAACCAGCCGCTTTGGCCAGCTCAGCAAAGCGGGTGGGTTCCTCCTCTCGGTCCGTTCCCCCCAGGGGGTCCCTGCCAGCCCAGGAGCAGTCTGAAAGGGGGGTGCATCCACACCACTGCACCTGCCCTGGTCATGGGCAGGCCCCTGGAGCAGGGCATGACCCAGCCACTGCTTTCTTGGCCAACCACCCTTGCCGTCTCCACATGAGGAGCATCCACGGACATGAGATGCTCACTTCCAACTGCCTGTGCCAGCCTCCAGCCCTGAGCTTCCAAGTTCCCTGCAACCACAACCTCCTCCAGTAGCAGAGGCACGGCCTGCAGCACCTCAGCCAGCCCTCCCAGAGCCTGGGGAAGTGAGGGACAGCTGGGCAGGGTAAGTGTAGACAACAGAAAGGGACTTAGGCAAGAGTCATGCAGGGGGGACGGGGAAGCCACTGACAATACGGAGCAGCCAGCGCAGACCAAGAACTAGCTGTGCCAAGCTAGTGTGGTCGTCAGTGGGATCTTAATCCGCTGGAAAACCCAGCCACACAACGCCCCTGGCTCCCATCCACCGCTGCCCTGCCCCTGCAGCTCGGTGCCTTGGTCGCCAAACTGGTCACACCAGGGCTGTGCCCCTGGGGCGGGGGGTTGTGTCCCTTGCGTGGTTTGGGACACAACCGTACAAGTGAGCTGCACTGTGAACCGGACAGCAGACATGATGAGCTGGCAGTGCACTACCGTTGGGGGAAAAAACCCAGTGCCACCTGGGCTGAGAGGAGGCAGCGACGAGGAGCACGAGGTGGAAGAAAGGCAGCGATAGCACTGCCCTGCCCAGAGCTGGTCTGGCCTCGCCTGGAGACCTGCAGGCAGGTCCCCAGTTAAAACAGGTGGAGAAACTGGAGGGTCCAAGAGGCAGGCATTTAAGACCACCAAGGGTCTGGGATGCAGCTGGGGAGAAGGGGGCACGTTGATACCAGGGGTGGAGGAGGGAAAGGACAGCGACTCCTCAAGCCGAGGAGAGGAGGGAGAAGAGCTGCACTGCCCGCAGCTGGGCAGGGAACAGGCAAGACGGGCCCTCCCAGCCCCCTCCGGGAACGGCTTTGGAGGACCAGCCTCATTCCCCCAGGGCCAAACTGCCTGGCACCTCCCACAGCCCTGCCCCACCCGCGGACCCTGCAGCCTTCTCCACCCCTGAGCCTGGCGCCTAGCCTGCCCGGAGGCCCCTTGCAGCACGGCATTCGCTGGCACGGCCTGAAGTGGGGCCAGGCCTACTATGCATTAAGAGCTGTTGGCAGGAACTCCTCGGCCAGCTCCTTGATAACTCCTGGGTGGGAGCGAGGATTTCACAAGCTCCTCTCCCTGGAGCAGGGTCCCCGCGCCTCTCCCCCGTGCTCGCCCGGGCCCGGGCCCGAGCCCGAGCCGCGGTACCAGAGGCCTCTCGCACCGCACGGGCACCTTTCCGTGAGGGGGCGACGGAGGCGCGCGGGGGCCAAACCACAGCAAGTCGAACGGCCTGGCCCCGCCCCCCGGCACGGGCCCTACCACAGGGGGGCGGCCCCGGCCCCGGCGAGCGAGGGGCGGCCGAGGAGCAGCTGCGC